TCTTCGTCGCCAAAAAGGCCAAAGTTAAGGAAAAAAAAACCCTAAAACCATCCAACCAGAACTATCTAGGTAGCGATTTGCGTATCGCCACAGACTTCGCCCGCACACGAGCCCCTTTTTCTGTACTCGTTTTGAAAAACTCTACGCAACTCCCGAAGAACGAACTGGGTTATCCTCTGCAGCAAGACCTCGCCTGGAGATGTGTTCCTGGAGCACAGTAACAAAATGGTGCAGCCTGTACTGCCACCGGGGCACGGACACGTACCTCGTACCGCCTTCTGGGAGAAGCCAAAAACCCCGGAGTGAAGACTAAGAACGACTACAGCTGTATTAGCAAACCATTTATGGTAGAACTCTCTTGCATACATCAATCTTTGTAACAATAATGAATGCTTTTATACGTTCGGTTTTTATCAAAAGCCTGTTCGTTTTTCCCAGCTTTATTTCTAGGAATAGTTTTTAGTCTTTTCGGTTTAGTGCTCTTCTTTAACGGGACTGCTTTTTCACCAACAAATGAATCATTAGAGCGCCTCTTGTTTGTTAATGTGGTATCAACTCTGTCCTTGGGAGCACGAGACCGATCGGGACTTTTCTGCGGTGCTTTCCACTTCTCTCCACAGCGCTTCACTCGTATCTTTCTTCCCATCAGAAGAGAGTCGTTGAGTTTCAGAGCAAGATGTACAGCATCCGTATTCTACAAGGACAGACATTCAGTTTAAAAGCAGCATTACTTCCAGTTGATTGCTTTCAAACAAACAGTTGCCTGCCTTTAATTTTTGTAAGCAAGATTTTACAATAAAGAGCGCTCAAACTGCTCTATTTATGGAATGACACAACATCTCTGCTCTGCTCAGAAACACCAGCGCACCCGCATAGCCCACGTATCGAGGCACAGACACTTGAAAACGGGCTATAAAACGGCTTACGTGAGACACGAAAGACAGAGGCAGAGAGATGAAGGAGAAACTGGGGAAAAAAGGTATTGGGCTGCAGGAAATAAACTGAGGAAGATGAGGCTGGGAGACTGCCACGAGAAAGCAAGCCGTACTGAATCCAAAACGGAGAGCCAGTAAGCAAACCGGCTGCAGGAAAGAACTCCACTCATATTTTGACACGTAAGAAATGGGAGAACACTGCAGTTACACCAAGCGAACTCGCTGTCCCTCTTTTAAGTCTTTCCCTTAAAGCTCATTTCTTTTACCCCAGCGTTTTACAACTTTTCTTTGTACGCAGCCTGAAATAGTTGGCTTTGTATCTGCTTCCACAGAACTGGTCTTCCAAGCTGCTTTTAATGTACACAACAATGCTACCATTTAATGTCATATACAAATTAAAAAAACCCTACTAAAATAATTTTAAAAGGCTATAAAGGCAAATCCCAATTCAGATTTTGAAGAATTCCCAGTGTCCTGAAGCACGCCATGCATGCGTACCTCAAAGAGAACGTAGCCGAAGCCTTTACCCAAGCCGGTCTTTCTGTCTCTCACAATTCGCACTGCTACTACACCTCCGCAGACAGAAAAGTGTTCTCGCACAGCATCATCACCGATGTCTGCAGGCAAGCACAACAAAACAGATGCCTCTTCAGTCAGACACACAGCTTTAGAAGCCTGGCCCAAATCCAAATATTTTGTATTTACCAATTCAGGTACACAAACTTACATATATTAATATATATATTAATGTATAAATATATATAGGTACACAAATAAGCGGTTCAGAAAAATTCTAGCAAGTTAACAATGCAGACTTTATGAAGGGCTATTTACTTTGACAGTTACCGATTCTCTAGTTTTGAAGAGTACAACGTAAATCACAAAGAAGAACGAAGGCAAAGACCGAAATAAATTTTTCAAATCATTTGATTTATGGTTCGAACATAGTGGAAATTAAGATTCCTCCCACGTTTTTGTAGCTCCTTCTTATGCCAGAATCTCCTTCTAAGAATTAATGCTGATGATAATGAGCTTGAGCTGGCAGCTCTCGAAGTCTAATGCTCATTGACTGAGCCGTGAATTTTAGCTGAATGGGGCAGAAAGGATTTACAGTTTCCAACCACAGTTGCTACACGATTATTCTGATAATGGCCAGATGTGTGAGGCTTTCTCAGTCTCGCGCCTAAGCGAAGAGACAAGTGTGAGGTACCAAACCAAAAATACAGGCGATTCTCTTTTCTGTACAGGTACGCTTCATACTACGGTAAATCCCTTAGCAGAGGTACGATTCTATCTGTGTAAAGGGGAGGGGCTGAATTTAATAGTACAGGTTTAATTACAGCAATGGGACTTAGATGTGCCGAGAAAGGTTCAAGCTGCTGAAGTAATTTTCAGAGCACTGCAAATGTCCAAACTGGTTTTTCTGCCGGATGCAGAGAGGAACATACAGTACTGACACAAGCTCTACACAACAGGCATTAGTAACATCACCACAGTCAGATTTGTCACCTATCCAGATTTTCAGACAGGTCAGGTTTTAGGCTGAAGTCTAAAGCCTGTTTGTTTCAGCATTACTGTCAGCAGCACAGGATACCGGCTCTGCGTCAGGCCACAGGCACAGGGCATGCCTTCATCCTGTGTACTTACGCATCCACACCACCCCCAAGTAAGATGCTTGTCCCAAGCATCCTGACTCCACTAATACCCTCATATGGACCACACCTGATGGCGACCCCTTCATCTGCTCTCCAGTCTACTCAGAAGCAGCTGAATATTCACCAAGCACTGGCCTCGACTACACAGTGAGCACCTCCATGCGGGTAACAACTGATTGCCAACAGGTGCCTGGACAGAGTCGCTCACCCTGGGGCTCACAGACAGCATCAAAATGAGAAGCCATCACTGTGTATCACTTGGAAGTAGTTCACAAACAGGTACCAGTACAGGTTTAACAGTTTAGAAAGCTATGGCCTGTGCAGTTTAGTCATATTTATTTAAAAAACATCGAGCGACGACAAGAACTAAAAGTGCTTGCAGTTCTAGCTACAATAAAGAAAACAATTAATCTGCAGAACTTGCCAGAAAGTTACAACCCCTTTAGGTGTCTCAGTTAAAAAATACAACTGCTACTTAAAAAATTAATTCCAGCAAAAGATATTTAGCTACCTAAACACGCTACCCTAAATATCAGTAAATAAAAAACCCCTAATGTCAACATATGCCATAAATATTAAGTAATGATGCGTAACAATCCATTTTAGACTTACCATATGAGAGATTTCCCAAGAATACAGATCGTTTATTGTCATGCTAAAGAAAACAAGAGATACAAGACAGTAAGTTATTTGTTACAGGAAAAAAAAAACAAAACAAAACGGAAAAGGGCTCTTCTAGTCACACATGTTACTTACCGAACTGGTTTTTGACGCAATGTCAACTCTGATGTGAAATCCACTAGCAATTTCTGTTCCATTTCTTTTGTAGCCAAAAGGAAAAAGTTTTAAAAACGAAATGAGCGTTACTTAATTTACAATGTCACTGCATAGCATTATTCCAAAAGCAAATTTACTTTTAAGTTTGTAAAAACAAGCAAAAGAGAGGGGGTAGTTTAAATTTATCTGTTAACACTCTGTAAATCTACCTCTTCAACAGGGAATAAGGAACGAAACTGAGACTTACTCATTTAGAGCCTTAATGGCATCACATTCTTCCTTAAATACAACATAAGCATTAACGAACTTCGCATTAGGGTGCACTTTATGCCTGGAACATGAAAAAGACACGTATTGTTTAAATAATTCTGACAGTGTGCAGTGCACAAGCACTTCTTGTTAAACACGTTTATGCCTCCTGTTTGTGCACAGTAACAACTTCATTTCTCTTAAAGGTCAAGCTAAGCCCCTTACGTCCAAGGGGGTCTCACTGTACAGCTTATACAGCCCGTATATGCACCCTGATCAAGCTTCCTCAACTCATAAATATATCCAAAGGAATTAAAGACTATTAGCGTCTTCCTCCTTCCTAAAATATAGGAAATGCAACCTAAGATAACGAATTACTTACTAGTATACTGGGCACATAATTATTTTTCACTTGCCAAGAAAACTTACATACACACAAAGGTAATTACAAAAGTCAAAGAAACACAAAATCAAAAAATTAATATAGCCAAATATGTAACAAACAACACTTAAAAAAATTATTTTTGCCTTGAAAAATAAAGCACAAAATTCACAAGAGGAACCTACTTTATTGCTGCTAACTTTTTGGATAACGTATCTTCCGCTGGAACCTTTAAGATAAAAAGAGCTTTAGTTAAGTGGGCCTAGTGTCAATTTATCTCAAATATTTGTTTTTTAAGACAAAGAGGAATTCAAACAGGTACCATTCCCACCCAAAGCAACGTAGCCAGCACAGCAAGCAAATGATGTAACTGGCTATTCCTGGAGACGATTTAGAAGGACCTCAGAATTAGATAGCTCGCTTTGACTTCATCTGTTGCGCTTCTTGAGTTCCAAGACAGTTATCTTCAACTATTTTACAGAGTCTACTGATTTACCATCAATATGTCTTTGCTACTATGATTTAAAAACAGGTAAGTAATACCTTAGCTAAATGAGCAATAATAAGAGCATTCTTCTTACAATCAGAGCTGGATTTTCTCTGAATCAACTGCTGCTACAGGAAGAGTAAAACGTGATGAAAGGAAAGATGCATCTGCGGTGCCTCTGTGGTAAAATCTCCAAGGATTCTTCTAGTGGCAAAAAATACACATCCAAACCCGCTTCTGAACTAATGAATACTACCCTTTAAGATCAGAAACATAATTTTGTTATGTAACGTTAGAGGAAATAACCTACCAAAGACCGGAATCGAATGGATTTTATTTGTCCATACCCTTTAAAAAGAGATTTCAGCGCCTAAACAGAAGATATTACAAATATTCAATACATGTTTTCATCCTGGTAATAACAACTAATGTCAAATATTTATTAGCAAGATTGTTTTTACACTTTCATTTTACTTATACAAGGTCTATTTAAAGGGCTACTAAAAATATGCAAGTAATTTGTAACTGTGTTTCTTGTGGCAGCTGCTCATGCTACAGATTGCCAAAACTGAATTCATACCCCTTACTATGGAAGAAAGTACAAATGTAACATATTTTATGCAACAATCTGAAGTATTATTTGCACTCAAAATTAGCAGCAGTCTCTAGCTTTGTAATTGTAGTTCTCATTTATTGAGTCATTTTTCACTGAAACTAACCAATTCTATTACAGAAAGAGCAACTGCATCCACTGCCGTAAAAAGCCTAACTCCGGTAAAACAAAAGAGATTGCCTCTAATGGTTTCCGATAACGAGCGTTATTTCCTACTTTCCCAAAAAAGCAGTTTTAGTCACAAATACGTGAATTCTCAGCTGGAAACAA